ATATGCCTAATATTATATAAATATGCCTAATGTAGTGATATATTTTTTAAAATATATAATGCTATGTATCAATGACCATGAGGCGGGGACTAAAATTTATTTCATAAATAATAATTACATAGATTTAGTCTGTGGTATCTAGCTTTCTTAATTATATTAAATATAAAATGTGATATTTCTGGAACTCTTCCTTCTTTAGAATAGCAGATAGTCAAAAATGTTGCAAAATATATATGTATATTTTAAAATCAATTGTTTGCCTCTAGTAAGTTGTAATTATACTTAATTTCTTTTCTATTTACTTTCAGGAGTACTTCAAATGATCTGAAAGCAATAATCCGATTGCTTAGGCATGATCTTCGAATAAATGCTGGGGCTAAACATATGTAAGTAAAAAAAAAAAGATTATACCTAAGATATTGAAATTGGAAAAATCAAATTTGATATTAATTTTAATCTCTTATTAAACAATTGTGTGGTTTATAATACCAATTCAAATGAAAATTAATTTGGGTACTGAATAAATAATTTTAAATTTGTGTCTGAAATTCTGAGGATATGAAAAACTCCTCAGGCTCAAGTTGGATCCCCCTCCCATTTGAAAATTAAGATGTTTAAAAGTGCATTTTGCGTATAAATTTGGTTAACTCAAAAACAATAGTTTTATGTAATGGAGGCAGACTATCCAAATTTGAGAGGTGTAACTTCGGAAGAAATCCAGTTGAGGTAGTAAATGAATATAAATATCTGGATGTCATCAATACTCCAAGATTGGTCTGAAAGCATCACTTTTCTGAAAGAATTAGTCAGGCTAAATTTAGTCTTAATTCTATTTGTCATAATTTCATAGCTAACAAAAATGTCACCTACTGGAATAAATTAAAAGCTTACAAGCCATCATCTCTCTCGGGCGGTGGTTAATTATGCTGGACAGGTTTGCGGTTTCAAACCCTACAAGTTTTTGGAAAAAATAAAAAAATATTTGAAAAAAAAGTATTGCGTCTTCCAAGTCATGCACTCGATTATATTTTAGCATACAAAATAGCATTTTGAAAGTCTAAGAGATGCCTGGTTTTCATTTGTCCGATATCCTAGCGAAAGAGGTGACGACTTAGAAAGTATATCGGTACCAAAAGTGGTTAGAATTTGAGTAGAATTATAAAATTAATCTCAATATTGTAAATGGTGCTGATCTGCATGAAAAATTTACCACTGTTAGTCATCAGATAGAAGAGGTTAAAATTAAATTACTTACTTCTTAGATTTATAAGTTATTAATATTTGTTTTTTAAAACTTTATTTGAAAAATGAAACAGTTAGTGGAAAAAATGTTAGAATGGAGGTATAAAAGTATAATAATATTTTAGAAATATTTTTACTCATTTATTTTCGTTATAAATGAAATCAATGTTTATTATGAATTATACACACAGACATCGACAGATGGAATTTTCCATTGTCTCTGTGTTGTGGCTATTATAAATGGATGTGTTGGGGAGAGACCGTCTCCTTGTCTGAGTCCTGTCCTTATGCGGAAAGATTTGCTGGTGGTTCCTCTGAATCTTACCTTGGATTCGGTGTCAGTTAGTGTTAATTCTATTAGTTTCCTGGTCTTCTGGTCCACTCCGTATTCTCTCAGTATTTCCAGCAGTGTCTTTCTATCCACTGAGTCGTATGCTTTTTTAAAATCAACAAACGAGATGTAGAGGTTCTTTTTGGGCCTTATTTCGTAGTATTTTATCAATAATTTTAGGCTCAGGATTTGTTCTTGACATGATCTTCCCTTTCTGAAGCCTCCCTGATATTCTCCGATTTTAGGGTCTATTTGTGGGTTTAGTCTGTTGAGTAGTGCTTTGGAGAAAATTTTGTAGCTGACAGGTAGTAGGGAAATTCCTCTGTAGTTGTCAGCTTCTGTTTTTGTTCCTTTCTAATGCAGTGGATGTATCAAGGCGGTTTTCCATTTACTGGGGATTTTCTCCTCTATCCAGATGTCCATCATCAATTCTGTGATCTTCTTCCTGAATTCATCACCTGTTACTTTCCACATTTCCGCCAATACTCCATCCTCTCCAGATGCTTTATTGTTTTTAAGTCCTGCGATTATTTCTTCTATTTCTTCTTCGTCGGGTGGGTCCGATTCCATCTCTAGGAGGGTGTTGTCATGTGGAGTCATTCTCTGTTTGGGCTCCTCGCGGTTCAGCAATTGTTCGAAATAATTCGCCAGTATGTTGCAATTTTCCTCGTTTGTTTGTGCCAGTGTTCCTTACATTATTATTATTAATATTATTTTTTATTTTTTCATTAGTTAATAATTTCTTATATCTAGTCTTTTCTTGGCCCTGATGAAGGCCTGAACTTTGGGCCGAAACGTTGCCAAATGTAAAAATAAATATCATTTATTTATTTTTAATTTGTTTATTTTTGACTGAATACCCCAACCAACTTCTCTTCAATTATTCACTACAATCAACTACCACTATTATAAACACATTTTTATTATAGTGCATTTTTTGGCTCATTTATTGTGCATTAACTTGCCAATTTTCTTTTAAGTAAGATTTAAACATAAGAAAAAGTAAACAATAAAACAGTTCAAATAAAAATTCCCACCATTTTTTTTTTTTTTACTTTCACTTATCTATATGAAATATATAGTAAGGGACAGTATTGTGATCGTGACAATTTTTTAATCTGAGTTTTGGGTTTCCTGAGTCCAAATAACCAAGTCCTGCAAAATGGTCCCTCTGTGTGTGTGCATGTGTCTGTATGTATGTGACAGGTCTAGCTCAAAAACGAAAAGTTGTATGAAAGTGAATTTGCATATTTAAGGTTTCTATATACCTGATGATGTTACAGTGGAAGTGGCACTTTATATCATCATTAATACATTTTTATTATTTTCTCGAAAACAGCTCCAACGATTTTGATTAAATTTATTATATCATTATAAAATTAAGCAGATTTTAATATTATATAGATTTTATTCTCATTGATGTTCTCTAACAGGGCTTACATGGCTAATTTTCAACATTAGCAACAATTAATATTTCAATATTAAAAACAATTAATCATTTCACATTGATCTCTAATATGAAAAATAGTTAAATATAAAATATGAAAGAATTTGATAATTAACTAAAGGAGAAATAAGAGATCGTAACAGAGAATAGTTGTAATGAAGGAACCAAAGGGATACGAGCACGGCCGAGCTCATCGAGCTGCCCCGAAGATTAGAACAGGCTTCCATAAAAACATGAGCTTAATAAAATACGAACTCCGACAATATTATGTACATATACATATGCGGTTTTCCTAAATATTTTCGTTGGTATTATTTAATATTTAATTGTATAGATTACAGCGACATAAATATTAAAATTTGTATATATATAACGGTACTTTAACAAATAGAAATATCTACAATGAAATATAAATCAATATAGTGTTTATAATTTTTACTTTCACTTCCCCTTTGTCTGAAAATACTTATTTCTGCTGAGGGTGGTAAGTGAAAGTTGTGTGATGCGTGCACCACACCAGATTTTTTTTATTGTATTTTAAAACTCTTAATAAGGTTTTGGTTTACATTTTGTCTGTCTTTGCTAACTTATAATAATTTTTCTTCCTTCTGTTAGTGAACCTAAAATTCTTATATCACCTTGAAATCCAATGTCAATTATTTGAATGTTTTCAAATCGATTAAAAGACTGATATAATCAGTTAGGTCATTGAAAGAGTGAGGATATTTATCAAGGGCAAGTTCTACCAATGTCATACTTTTTAATTTAATTTCATTTATTTTGTCTTATAATGTTGTTATTAAAGTATATTGATGATGTAATGAATGTTAATATTGTTAAAGATGAAGGATCTGTTTCAATTGAATAATATTACAGGCTGTTACAATAAAAAATATTGATAATCGTTATTCACACCATTCTTACAAAAAATATAGATAAAATAAAAGTAACATAATAATATATATTAAAAAAAAATAAAGTAAAATAAAGTAATAACACCTCAAATAATGGCATACTTGTGTACACTTTGTACAATCATCCAGGAGAGCTCTGAACCAGGCTTGTCCCTCCACCTTTGGAGTGAAAAGTAGGAGTCCAGGAGATCTTAGCACTTCTATGTCTGCTGTATCACTTATTTGACAAAGATTCTGGAACTCCAATACATACTAACTATTGATCTCGCAGTCCCACGGCCAAATGATAATAATTAAAATAGTGTGATGATATAAATGATGAAATTGATTTATGAATGTTTATTGTTTGGTTTCAGTCTTTAATACTTTTTAAATAATCTTATTTAAGTGCGATTAATAACCATGAGAAATGTAATTATAATGTAATACCATAATAATGTATTGAATAATATAATTACCATTTACTACATTGTTCTGAAAAAAATACATGTTGCTATTCTTAATTAATGCTTAAAATACTTTGGTATGTAATTTAATTAAAAAGCGCCAATTTTGAATGAAACCTGACAACATAGATTTTTGTGTTTGACAAAGATAAAAAATATTAAGTTAATCATAATGATTTTTCTCTCAGCCCGTTTCGTGAGAACAGCCCTGATGAAGGGCCTGAAACTTAGGTCGAAACCTCAGGATGAAGAAAATAAAAATAAATATAATGTATTTATTTTTACTTTGTTGTTTTTTTGACTGAAACTCTAACTAACTTCTCTTCAATTGTAATGATGATTCTTTACTCACTATGTTTGACAAACTTTAGTTCATCTATTAATTAACTACTCTTATTAATTTCATCAATAAAAGAAATCTTTTATATAATGTTATAAATAAACAATTGGAAATCCGTTTTTAATATTGTGAAAAAATGTGGTAGTAATTTTTTTTATTAGTTGTGTTAGATATACACTTTTTATCTAATTGTTGTGGTTGCATTCCTTTTATCATATTGTCTATGATAGATAAATTACAAAGTATTTATACCATATGTAAATCTATTATTATTATTTTTTTGTAGTACTGTATACCACTTATTTTTATTTATTTTTTATTATAATTAGATAAATATAAAATTTGCCTGTCTAATCACTATGTTTCATTCATCTGAGATAGCTAGGTATTATATTTAGCTTTTGTTACATATTATTTTTTTTTAAAACTATATTACGGAACCATTTTAAAAATCTGTATACATTTGTGTTTTCTAATATAATTATTCAATAATGTATTTAATTGTTTAGATTAGACGCAGTGCACGAGGATGCGTATGAGGCATTTCAAGCTTCCAGAGATATCAATGCGATTCTTGAGAAAGTTGGAAAAGCATCTGTTGCTGGTAAAAAAGGGCAGAAACAAAATTTAACTGTGAACATAGCTCCCATGGTTCCAGTACTTCCAATGCTGGTAAAGAATTTCTTATGTAAACATCTCCTAAGATTCTGTACCTTTGTTTACCTCACAGTTTATAATATCAGTTTCCTTCTGGTCTAGTTTCAAATTATCACCTGGCTTTTCTTGTATCGTCCATTCTACAGACATGTCCGAACTATTGAAGTTGCCGCTCTTGCATGATGTTGCACACTGATTTGACTCACAAAATTCCAAAATTCTTTCATTTCTGATGCAATCCCTCCTGTTCTTAACAACTATTCTTCAGAGGCACCTCATTTCCGCTGATGTGATCCTGCTTACATGTTTGTCGTGGGCTATCGAGCTTTCTGATGGAACACAGATTTAAATATCCAAATTTTGGCATCTCTACTCGGTATGGACTTTTCCAAAGTCCTGGGGTCACCGAACTTTTTGGCCCACGGGTCTCATTGAGACTTCCAACTAAGTCCCACGGACCATGGAGTGTGATGGAAACAAAAAATTGTTCTATAAATGACACTTGTAGTTCTGAAATGAGCTTACTAAGAGTAAAAAAAAACATGCAATAAGTATTGTAGTAATCTCTTGTGTGAGTAATTTACTAAATTTTTTATTTTTTTATTAGTTTTAAAATTTTAACTTTTAATCAAAGAACTTTCACAGGTCGGATTAGAAGTGCTTGTGGGCTGTAGTGTGGAGATCCCTGGTATAGTCCATTGGCCTTTTTCTCTTGATTTAGAATCTTCTGGTCTATTTTACCATCTTTATTTATTATGTTACGTATAAGTATTGATTAATTATAGAGGTTCACCATTACACAAAATTCTCCACGTTTTTCATTCCGACACATCTGATTTTGCTTTAATTTGTAGGCCTTTTATCTTCAGTTCTTCATTCCATTCATCCAAGGAGACTTGAAGAGTCTCCTGGTAGTCAGCTGTCAGCACAATATCATTAGCATTCATCATGGCTTGAGCGAGTACTGGAATTAGGTTCTACTGTACCTCAGGGTATCTCGCAGTTCCTGATATCCTCATTGATTTCTGATTATTTTGATTATGGTTGCATGGTTTATGGAGAACATTCTGGTGTGATTATGATGAAATTCCCCAGTTAACCTCTAGTTTCTTGTTGACATATATTAATGTGACTTTATGTTTTCTAATGCCAACATTTCCTAGCTCCTTTATATTCTTAATTTTTTTATGTCATCTTCTTTTGCTCACTTTATAAATACCATAGTCTATTAACTTTTACACCCCATTACGTAGAACTGCTCTCTTCAGCTGATCTTTCATTATTCATATTGCTTCAATTTCAATTCCTTATTTATTTCAATCATTAATTTCGTCCATCATTGAAACCACCACAAATATGGCTAGGTCTTTTGAAAGAGGCTCCAAAGACAAACTGGTAACAGATATAAAAATTTATTTGGAAAACTAATTTATTTTTTAACTCTATACTATTATGACGAAACATTTCTAAATGAATAAATAAAATAATGAACATTAAGAAAAAAATAACTTAATCTGAATGACCCTATCCATCCTGAGAAAATGTACTTTCATTTCTACTTCAAAACCTTAGTGCTAGGGAAATTTACTCTTAATATATTAACAATTCTTGTTCCTTTACCTTCTTGATACTAAATTTACCATACCCCTGTTAGCAATAAGTATTTATGTTTAACAAATATTATATCTACTGTAATTGTAAATTATATTTATTTATGCTTAATCTACAAATGATAAAAATTATTTAATATCCAACCAGCCATCCATTTATAAAATCAGACAAATTGACATCTGTTCTGAGTGAGAAATTGGTCTTAAAAAAAAATTATATTTTTTTATCTAACTTCACTGCAGTTTTTCCTGTTATTATAGTATCATTATTAAAAATTAATTATTTTTAAAATAAGGGAGACATATCATCATTAAAGTTTTTTTATATCCAAAGATCTTACATATCTTTTATTTATGTGGAGGTCAAACAGGAAATGAAATGCTGTTAGAATGACACTGACCTATGACAATCAAGGAATGGAAAACTACTGATAATCAGTTTTTTGCTGTTAATTATATCTTATGCTAATTATAATTAATTAATTTTCAAATATTGGTCTCATAAATGTACATAGATGGAATTTTTATTTTTAATAATTAGTTCGATTAATTGGAGGGGAAGATTTTCGGACTGAAGCCCCTCAAAATGGTAAAATACAGCCATGCCTTATGAAAAAAAATATTAAAATACAATATTTCCCTGCCTTGGGTAGTGAGGAAGCAAAAATATCTTTAAAAGTATTATTGTTAGTGTAATTACATTTAATAGGACTTCAAGAATCACTTAAACATCATTTCATATAGGTTGTTAGTTTTTTTCTTTTTCTTCCGAAGTAATTATCGTTATATATGTATATATGTATATAAAAAAAAATCTTTCGGGCTGAAGCCCCCAATATTAAATTCTGGATCCACCATTATACTGTTGGAGTATAATAAAAGTTAGTGATATATTATACATTAAAATATGATTTTCTTATTCCTATATATTTTGCACATCCAGAAGGAAAGGTGCCTGCACAAGTTGTTTAAAGTTTTGCACTCAATGAAACAGGCATTTTTGGATTCTGTTTTTTTTTTTTTTTTAAGCAATATCCAATTGCTGCTATTAATCCTATTACAGATCTGAGATTTCAATTTATTTTTAATCCTGTTTCTCTTATTTAAAAAATTAAAAACATATAGGCCCAAAACATTGATATTTCCATATATTTGATAACTATTCTTTGATGTTTACATCACTAATTTTTTCAAAGATTAAAATTTTCAAGGGCTGATATAACAAAACATTGATGTATTTATTTCAAGATATTTAATTACTGTTTCGATATATTTAAAATGTATGGCTAATTTTTTTTTAAAAAGTACATTCAATATCCAACTGTTTCAAAAAGCCTCAATACAAATCTTATACAAAATCTGATGAATCCCTTTTTTTTTTTGTCTTTGTTGCCAAAAAAATAGGCCTTGTCATGTTGTTTTAAGTGAGCTATTATTTTTTTTTTATTATTTATTTTTTTTTTAGTGCATTTCTTATTATTCAAGTTGAGGAGCCAGTCATTTGTAATAATTAGGTTGGCCTTATTTTATATATTATAATATATTTGGAAGAAGTTCATAATTTCATTTATTGTTTTATTACTATTTAAATTATATTTTTTTATTTTAACAGTTATGATTACAAAAATAAGTAAATAGTAATAATCAAAACGAATCCTATATTGATGAAACCAAGATAGTATCCTCCATTCTTATTTTGGGTCTTCATATGAAGTTTAATCCTGTGATCCATTGTTTGTTGAACTTTCATCTTGTTTCTTAAGTCTATTGTTTATAAAATTTATTTGAAACTGTCTTTGCTAGATTGCTTATTGATGTTTAGATTATTATATTCTAATGAGATGTTTTTACATTTTTTGGAAAAAACTAACATTTTTCAAGATATTTACCTTTATTTCTATCATGTGTGATTTTGGATAATAACAGGAAAAATTCAGTTATTTTTTTAAATTTTATTTCATTGAGTAGTGTATCATCTATTTGAATTATAAATGATCTGATAATTGTTATTAATTATATTTTAGAATTAGTGAATGATATCAATAGTTTTACTTAGCAGGTTTTTTAAAATTAATATGAGAATTATAAAATTTTTTTTTAAAGTTAAATAACAAATATTGATATTAGTTTTACTTTTTTGAAACATGTTGTGCACAATGGATTAATCCTCTTGTTTTTTTAATCTTTGTTCAGTTAGACAATAAATATTTTTTTAATGTTATCTGAAGACTTGTTTGTATAGCTGTAATCTATTGTTTATTTTCTTTTTAAATTTGGAAATCTGTTATTTTAAACATTTTTATTTGAAAGTGCCATTTTACTATTTGTCATAACTACTGTGTAGTTTGAGATTTCTTAGAAATGAGTTGACACAGAGAACTGAACAAAAAAAAGAAAAAATTATCAGAATGTAAACGAGATATGATTTACCCCTTGCAGTCTATAACTGAATTTTTGAGATAATCTATCATTATTTAAGGTCAGAGTGGTGATAATGCCTGGAGGCTGTTAGAGCGTTGTCCTTAACTTTTGCTAGTATCAGTAACTGTGTCATTCCGTTAATATCTGTAGGAGCGTTGTTGCTCTGTGGCTTTGTTAAAAAAAAAATTAAATGAAAATGAGGCTAAAAGTTTTAGTTTTGGACGGCATTTGTGTCGTATATATGATTTTTTGTATTTCTCTGCTATTTATTTAAAGGCTCAGCCTTGTAAGTCGTCCGAGGAAGCTCTTCAAAAGTGTCCTAATGGGATGTATTCCGAAGTTAAATATGACGGAGAAAGAGTTCAAGTTCACAAGAGTGGAAATGTTTTTAAATATTATTCGAGGAGTCTGAAACCGGTTCTACAACACAAGGTGAGTGTAAGATACATATTTGTGTATATTTTTTATTTGAAAATTTTAACTATAGTAATATGCAAAAAATAAAGTAGAAATTATGTTGTTAGACATTAATTAACAACAAAGAAATTAATTTTTATTTTGAATTAATTAACATTTTTTTATAATTAAGGATTATTGTTTGAATAAAAAATAAGTAAATGAAAATTGAGGAGCAGTTAAATGGGGTGAGAAATAAGAAGTAAAATTTTTAATTTAAAATTTTTTATTGCACACCAAAGATTGACTAATGTCGGAGTTAAAAGGTTCTGATGAAAATTCAACCTTTTCTATTTCGAACATTAAAAAGTTACATTAAGTTCATATCAAAATAAAAAATTATAAATGTAAATATTATTTCAACAACTTTTATATATTCTATCTGTTTGTACATTATACTTTTGTTAATTCTCAATCAAATCCTTTGATTGAGCCATTATTTTGATGATTATCTTCTCCTTCAGGTCCAAAAAATAAACAGATAATCATAAAAAAATAATCTATTTAAAAATGTACTATATATTTTTAATATAATTAAGAAGGCAAGATATCGCAGGACCTCCAGTTATAGAATACGACTTGATTGTAATATATTTATAATATTCATTTTTTTTCTACGACATTATGTTTACCAATTTACTTTTAGTAACCTAGATGGCCTATAGCTCAATGATTAAAGATTAACTCCTAAATCAGGGAATAGCTCTATTTTTTTCTTAATATACTAACAAGTTATACTTTAATTTTATTTACATGATCTTACTTATAAAATTTGTAGGTATGCTACCTCTTCTTTAATTCTTTACCAAATCCAATGATTGAGCCATCATTTTGAAGATTATCTTCTTTTTCATGTGCAAAAGATAAACACATCCCTCAGAAAAATTAGGAAAAAAAGTTGTGAAGAAAAGGAAACTATATTTGTATATAATTCAAAAGTATACTATTTATTGTCAGTTATACCAATAATAATTAGAAAGGTTTCCAAGTTCCCTTCAAAATGAAAAAAAAAAAGCATCAAGTTTATTTATTTAAAAAACATTAAATTATTTATTTTTTTAAAATGCAGCCAATTATACTTAGTAGACATGTTTTAGTCTACAAATTAATTTTATTAATTAACTACAAATTAATTTTGAATGAAGATTAATTTCTTCCTCTCATAATATTACGTTGCAATTACTTATTTTCAAATTATATATGTGTGTATGTGTGTGTGTCTTTGTTGCGCATGCGAGTGAGTGTATATACAAATAAAAATACAATTTTATGTATTAGATTGACAACTTATTTGAAACTATGAATTGAGTTCTATTTCAAGTTTTATTCATTTAATTAAATATATATTTATTTATCCTTAAACTTAATAGTTCACTCAAAATAAGACCATATATTGTTCAGTTCAAAATAATGAACTAGAACTGAAAAATCCTTTTATTTTACTAATTACAATTAAATTTATTGTTGTTATGTTTATTGAATGCATTGAGATATTCCATAGTTAGGAACCCGATGACCTTTGACATTTCTCATGTTGCCTATTAACCCTCCTATTTCCCACAAAATCAGTTGAGGAGCTGGTGTAGAACAAACATAGATAAAAGATCCACAAATAACTATTTGTGTTTGTTATCTTTGTTTGTTTAGTATTTGTAGTTATTGCGTGTGTTTAAATATTAGTTTTATAAATTGTGTCGGTGGTTTCATTTACTGATAATTAAATCGGGTAAAGTTTAAATATACCTTATTGTATCCATATCTGCCAAATTTTAGAAATTGCCCATATTTTTTTGGTGAGAAAAATCAGAAATTCACAATACATTTCCCAAAAGTTGTCATTATTGCTAAAGTATTTGTGATTAGTAAAGACATTTGTATTTTCACGGTTTTTTATGTTTGCTAATGGGGTTATTATCAATTTATTGGATGGGTTATTATTAATAATTATTGGAAGAGGAATGAGGAGATTTTGATTGTGATCTTGATTAGGAGTGTTTCTAGTGATCTGAAAAAATGTCATTATAAAACGTTTGAAAGTTGAATTTAGGCAAATTAACTTTCAGTTCAACCTTCGATCACAAAGAATTTAAAATATTTATAACTTTCAATACAAGTACGTAATAAAAAGCTTTATGTTTATTAAAAACACAGACATGCCAATATTATACTATGATTGTGTTCATCATGCTCTGAGATAAAAGGTTCACTATAACAGTACAGAGTTTATGAGTACTTTGTAAAAGTAAAAAAGTAATTACTGGTCTGTAGGTAATATATCATTACATTGGCTTATGCATTTTAAAACTCTGAACAACCCTCCGTTAATTTCAATAGTATAATTATTGTAATATTCATAGGCACAGACTTTTAATTTTGATTGGATGGGAGGTGATGGTTAAAAAAAAAAATAGCGAAACTTTATATCATTTGTAAAAATTGTATAAAATGATAAACGAATAAAAATCAACATAATCATTGTGAAATGGACAATATAATACTGAATATTTTGAGATAAATTGATATATATATATATATATATATATATATATATATATATATATATATATATATATATATATATATATATATATATATATATATATTTAGTTTTTTTACATGTATAGATATATTTGAAAATATCTAATAAAAAATTACATATGTTAGGATTTGATAAAAATGTCACATGGAAATGAGGCATAAATGAATCATAAAATCCTAGTATATGCTCTGCTATATATTAATATAAATGAAAATAATAGGAATATTTAGGTCATAATAAAATATTTACATACCTACTAGTAGATCTTAGTCTAGCCAGCTAGTGGACTTTTCCTATTTTCTTAATACATTTAAGCTTACATATTTTATTCACTCATGTAGATTATTCCTTATTAATTTAATTTTTTTCTTCAACTTCAAATTATTTGGAAGGGCGAAATGATAATCTTGCCCCTTCAAATTTTTATTTAGGAGGAGATTATCCTTCTCCTTTTTAAATAAGGAGATTATCCTTATCCCTATTAAATAATGATATGAACTGGATGCAAAAGTGATTGAAGTAATTTTCATAGTATATAATTAACCAATTTCTGATTGTATTACCTTCATGCTTTTAAAGAGTTGAATATGCTTAAAGCTGGCTATTTCTAAAAGAAAAAGTCAGCTGTTATTCTTTACCAAGAGATAGCAATTATCTTAGAGTTTCAGGTTTTGATTTATATGACCTTTCCATACAACGGCTTTTATGCATGAAACCATTCCTAACTATTATTATTTTATTTAGGTTAAACCATTGGAACCATACTTCGCTCAGGCATTCCCGTTTGGTGACGATTTAATATTGGACAGCGAGATCTTGATGATTGATACTAATACTGGAAAACCTCTCCCGTTTGGTACGCTTGGAATACATAAGGTATCCATTTTATGTTATTTTAATTGCTATATTTGATATTTATGAATTTAATTATAATATTGGGGTCTAATTAGAACAATTTCAACCACACAGCATTATGTCTCTGAAATGCAGATAAAGAATAAAATAACCTGTTAATGTTTCCTCAATTCAAGCATCTTCAGGACAGATATAAAAAAATAATCCCAAGATCATTGAAGGAAGTTTGTCGATATATCATGGGTGATAGTCAGGACGCAGTCAGTTTTTTAAGGTTTTTGTTGCCGACATTTCAATCCAAGGTTGTGGGTTATCATCAGTGCTGAAAAATTTATATAATCAGGGATAATATTAAAGTATTAATATGGCATTAATCCCCCGCCCTCACCCCCTGACCTGGAAAAACCCTTTATTGCCTAAAAGGTGAGGAAGGGGTGGACAAAAGAAAAGAAAAAAAAGGCTCTCCACACACCAAGCAACCACAATTGAATTGTGTGAAAGCAAGGAAGGTTACAAGAAGTTGTCTAATATTTTGAGGTATATAATCATGGAACCATAATTATGAATTATTTTAGGACAGTTAAAGATTTTCCTATGATCTGGGAAATATGTTTATTTCAGAAGAGGTTCTTATGGGGCAGGGTGGCTGAGTGGACTAACGCGTCTGCACAGCACCACTGTTGCCTGGCAACCTGATATATAAGGTAATTTGATTGAAATAAAATTAAAATTTAAGTTTGTGTCCTGGTCCTGAGGGAGTCTTTTAACTCTGGCATTAATCCTCTGCCCTTGCTCCCTGACCTCGGAAAACCCCCGTATAGCCTAAAAGGTGAGGAAGGGGAGGGCCAAAAAAATATAAAGTAAATAAATAAAATCACCTACTCTTTTCTGTTCTAAAGAGGCCTGAGTTAGCGAAAGGTTAATAGGTTATTTTACTTGGGGGGTGGGGTGGCCGAATAGGCTAAAGCGTGTGTAACAGCACCGCTAGTTGCCTGGCAACCGGATAACAGAGATTTGAGGTGATATAAAAAGTACGAGTTCGCGTCCCGGTGCCGGAGGGGATTTTAAATTCCCCGCCCTCACCCCCGGCTCGGGAAAATCCCGTATAGCCTAAAAGGCGAGGTAGGGAAGAACAAAAAAAAAAAAAAAAAAAAAAAAAAAAAATAAAAAAATAAAAAATAAAAAGGTTATTTTGCTAGGGGGCGGGTGGCCGAATGAGCTAAAGCGTGTGCACAGCATCGCGAGTTGCCTGGCAACCGGATAACAGATTTGAGAAGATTATAAAAAGTACGAGTTCGCGTCCCGGTGCCATAGGGGATTTTAAATTCCCTGCCCTCATCCCCCCATCCGGGAAAATCCGGTATAGCCTAAAAGGTGAGGTAGGGAAGAAGAAAAAAAAAAAAAGGTTATTTTACTATTTAACTGCATTTTAGGGACATAAAACTGTGTTTAAAATTGTTCCCAATTATAATCCAACATTGAATTTCATTCTTTTTGTGAGTTTTTAATTGTCTGCATTAATTTATTTTTAATACCACTCCAAATAGAAGAAATAAGTAAATTTTTTTATTATAACATAATTTTTAATTTTAATGTTTCACATTCAATAAGTTGTCTGCTTTTTGTATGCTCAAGAAAAACAAAAATGATGTGTATTTTGTGTATAGATGGAAAAGGATTATTAATTATAAATAAATACAATACATAGTTTTTATTATACCCACTAATAATTAGGCTATTCATTACTCCTAATTTGTTATAAAATCTCATGAATCAATATTTTTTAATGTTTAATAATTTCATCACCAACATTTTATTTATTTTTATTCAGAAAGGTGAGTTCAAGGATGCAAACGTCTGTTTATTCGTTTTTGATTGCATTTATTACAATGGAAATTCACTGCTTAATGAGTAAGTATCTAAAAAATTATTATTTAATGTGATAACAATTTATTAAAAAAAAAATTAACAAAAATTGTTTTTGTTTTTTTAGGCCTATTTGCAAGAGAAGACAGATTCTTCATGAACAAATGAAGCAAGTTGATAACCACATTGTATTTTCAGAAATGAAAGAAATTCATGTAAGACCATTTTTTTTTTTTCAAATAGTTAATTTTTTTTATCTATTAAAATTTCTATGGTTTTATTTTGTGATTTTTTTTTTTAAGGATAAGAAGGATCTTGAAGCAATGATGACAGAAGTTTTCAGACAAGGCTTGGAAGGACTAGTATTAAAAGACCTTATGGTAATGATTTTTTTATTTTTATCATAATATAGTTTTTTACTGGTAATATAATCAAATAATAAATAAAAGTCTTGTAATAGTAATAAATTGTCTTCATGAAAGTTCAGTTCTCATAATACTAAAAATATTTCGTATACTTTACTTACCTCCCAACATTTAATTTATATCTTTCATTATTGTTTTGTTTTAATGTTAACTTCATTTTATTATTTTTTTGGTTATTAATTATCAATAATGTATTTTCTAGAGCACCTACGAGCCAGGGAAGAGACATTGGCTGAAGGTTAAGAAAGATTACTTGTTTGGAGGAGCTATGGCTGACTCAGCCGATCTTGTCGTCCTCGGAGCCTGGTTTGGAACTGGACAGAAAGGCAAGTTTAATGGATTGTCCCATAATTCATTTGTTTTTGAGTCCATCATGGTTGAGACTCTTAAGGCGTCATAAACTCATCAATCACAAATCTGGTGGAATCCGTCCTGAACAGTTTTAAATTTATTTCATGGCGGACCCATAGAATGAATCTCAACCTTCCCATTCTAGTTAGAGTTGGTTGGTTATACCTAATGATGAACCACCTATGTTTTGAAAATTGGTAACACTAAGTGGTAGTAATGATTCTCCTGAAAACAAAGGGCAATAGTGACACTCATTTGTTCTAAAACTCCTCTTTGAGTTGTGTGAAATATATGTAAGAAATCCTGTCGAGTGAGAGATATGTTCTGTCACAAGGTTCCTTCTTGCAGAAGGTGAAAATTTTTCGAAAAGACTGAAATTTTTGAACTGATCAAAACTGTTTGTGGTGAAGATCGTATCAACCGAATTAATGTGTTTGAGTGGCCTTTGAGTTTAACGAAGAAAGAACAATTTCGGGCAAAACAATCATGGCATTCGTTTTTTGGACCAAAATGTGATCATTTTGCCTCAGGGGGATACGATTACTGCTATGAGATTCTGAAAAATCTCAAGAGAGCAATTCAAAATAAACATAGGATAATGTTGAGAAAGGATTGTTTGTTGTATGACAATGCCCACTCACACACAGCCAATTTTACTAAGGTGCTTTTTGAATTTCCTTGGGACACTTTGAACCACCTTGTATACTCCCCTGACTTGGAACTTTCAGATCATCTTTTTTTTTAAATTATTGTTACTTTGTTGAGATGCAAGTTATTTATAGAATTTAGGTAAGAAATTTAGAGCCTTAAAACATAATATCCAGTATGTTATGGAGGAATTATACCTTTAAGGAACTTTACTTTGTTTGGTTTTTATATGTTAGGTTTCTAAATTTCAATAGTGGTAAGCCACCATAAGAAACCTTATACTTTTAAATGTTTTTTATTAAAATTTTTGTAGAATTTAAGGATCAAAAGTGCAATTTTTCATTTTTCCATAAAATTTTCTTTCTTCTGATACCTCATTCCCCTAAATCCATTGCTGCTGTGAGCTGAATAGTAAATTGATACTACCTTGTTATGTATAAGGTAGCTATATGGTTTTAAAGGTATTTCTTTTTTATTGAAGTATGGTCATTATTAATGATATAATTAATTCTTTTAGTGTTTTATTACTAGGCTGTTGATCATAGCCTGATAGCCTGAGCATTATAGTACTTGAACAAAATCTAGACTATAAGAACATAGTTACTATTTCTCATGAAATCGTAATTATACTTTGGCCAAAAATTAAAGACCATTCACACTCCTCTACCCTACCTCTGTCCCTTCACTATTTCTTATATCAGCCATCAGTAACCAAGCAAGTTATATTTATAATATAAATTCATTTATATTTTTAGGTGGAATGATGTCAGTTTTTTTAATGGGCTGCTACGATGAGAGAAGCAAATGTTGGTGCACAGTGACGAAGGTTCACACTGGACATGACGATGCCACGTTAGAGAGATTACAGGTTTGTTTATTGTCTTTTTATCCTTTGTTCGACTTGAAAAATTGTTTACAAAATTAATATTAATTACTAATAAATATTTTTATATTGAAATAGACTGAGCTCGGAGAGAATATGATCAAAATAAGCAAAGATATGAGCAAAGTTCCGTCTTGGCTCCGTTGTACTAAGACCATGGTTCCAGATTTTGTTGCCAAGGATCCAAAGGTTTGTGATTTATTTAATTAAAACTTTTTTATTATTTAAAAAATATTTTTAACCTTAAGTTATAGATCTTAGATAATCAATCTTACTGAAGTTAGTTAAAGTTTAGGAGGAGAAACGGGTGTGGTCAGTGATGAAAAAAAAAAAAAAAAAAAAAAGTTAATAAGGAAACATAATTTAATGTGTGCCGAAGTTTCAATCCAAGTTATAGGTTTCTGTACTTAGCTTTGTTGGCACGCATTAAAAAAAAGTTTTCTTATTTGTGTTTTTTTTTTTTTCACCACTGACTGAATCTTCTTCCCCTAACCAAGTTTTCCTATACTTAGTTTCATGACACTTTTTATTTTTATTTATGTAAGTCATTAATTAATCACTGCTTGTTTAATTGAAATGTATGATTAAGAAAGCAATCCAATATGGATATTTAGTAAAAGTAAAACTATATAAATTGAATATATTTATTAAGTTAAAATATAAGACAAAAAATGTTGCTCTGTTGCTATCGTTGTAATTTTCAATTTGGTAGCATGTTGTTTTCTTCCTCAATATTAAAGGCATTTTGATGCTACTTAATATTTATCAGCTGGTTTTTATTTTTCTGAAAAAGAAAATTTATCTTAAATAGCTCAGACTTAAATTAAATTTTTTGGTGGACTGTAAAGCATGATGTTGTGAGACTTATGAATATTGTAATATTTACATAAATTTCTATCTCATAAAACTTTTTAACCAATATATTAGGCTTAAATTTTATATATCAGTAATATTTGCCTGAAAATAATGATTGTATTTTTAAAGTTTCAGAACATAAACATTATGCTATCAAATATTACATATTTTACAATATTGTTGAGCAAAATGTGACAGTTGTATTATTTCATTGTTTTCGCAGATACCGATAGAATATCGATATCAGCAGTAGATAGGATACTATAGTAAAAAATGGTTTAAATTTGGGTTTTTTTTTAGTTGGCCGATACCAGAACAATATTTTGGTTTGATCCACTGTATGCCACCTTGATCATCCTTTTCTGAATGAAATGATTATTTGTTTTTCGAAGAAAAAAATTATATTTTAAATTTTTATTTTTAGCTTCAACCAGTTTGGGAAATAACTGGAGCAGAATTAACCAAAAATGTTGTTCACACTGCTGACGGGATTTCGGTCAGATTTCCTCGAGTGACAAGAATAAGGAGTGATAAAGATTGGGCTCAGGCGACATCACTTGCCGAATTGAAGGTATAGAATTTAATTATTTTTTTAAATGGAAAATTGATAATTATCCTTCTTCGTAATGCATTCAAGCTATAAGAGACACAAACGGCACTTTATTCTTATAAACAATGAATATAACCAAATAGTCTATTCAACACTCTCACAATTAGTCTTCATAATTTACCATCTCTGTTAAAGTATCAATTTACTTAATTAGTGCTTAGATTTTCCTACTGGAAAAGTATCCCTCCATTTTAATAGTAAATACGACGCAGCCTGTACATTCCTGAATTTATATTATTTCATTATTTTACTCGCTCAAAACCTATTTGTTTGGTGAAGAAATTAATTAGTTTGTAGTTCTCTCACTTAGGGCCAGTTGCTCCAATTCAGTAAAGCTTAGAGTTTAGCAGTTAAGCGTTATCTAGGATTAAACCAAGTTTAATCTTGATCGGTCGACTTTAGAAAACTTGGTTTAATCTTAGATAACGCTTAATCTAAGCTTTACTGAGTTGGGGCAACTGGCTCTTACTAAGTTTATAAAAACCATATTTAGATATTTTGTTTTTAATTAAAAATATCAAAAATTTTCTTTCTATATTATCTGTAGGGTCCAAGGTATCATGGAGGTATACTTCTCCACCTACCTTTTCAATAGATTTTTAGTTTGTCAATGATTATCATAAATAGTTATATATTTTAATTTTTAAAACCTGAACAAAACATGATAAGTATCTCATGGCAACATAACACCTAATATACTTTTGAGAAAAATTACATTTTATATTGAAAAAGGGACATTTTTGGACTGGTATAGTTCCGAAGCTCTTGATATCTGTATTAAATATTCAAAGTTCAATTTATCCCTTCTCGCTCTGTCAACTTTTGAAACCATCTGTTTTGACTCCTAATTTTTTCAATGACTTGTATTGTAATTATACTAAGGATTTAAATATTTAAATTATTTATTTGTCACTTCTTAATGAAATTATCTTTCTTTTGATACCTTATAAATAGTTTCATCTCATCAGTACAACTATTTTATTTAAGAATACTTTTGGAATTGGGGTATTTTCAATCTTGAGGGGGCCAAACTTTGTCTATTTAATTAGGTACTAAAAACTCGTAAATACTCATTTGCTTTCTACTTAGATCATAAGATAATTTGATCTCAAAATCGAGAAAAAAGGTGGCCTTCAAAAATAGTAAGGTGTTTGCGTGACCTACACCCACAAATTTTCAAAATAACGAGGCTATGTAGGACAAACGGCCCAATATTTTGGCAGGGCACCTTTTTTCTCGATATTGTGATCAAATTATCTTACGATTTAAGTATTTCCGGAGATTCATTTTCGACCTGGATACACATTTTTATTTTATTTTCTCCTTTATTCAATTATCAAATTCTTTCAAAAGTTTTATTTTTTTTGTAACTCTTAATAATGAGAGATAGTTAATTATTTAAAACAAACCATAATAGAGGTACTTTAGAGGAAGACCCAGATGAACATTGGGCATTTAAGCCCTGTTAAGTGACATCAACGGAGATAAGACCCAAATAATATTAAAGACCACTTTATTATACAATGATACACCGAGTTTAATCAAAATTGTAAGAGCCGTTTTTGAGAAAATTGTAAAAATGTGTTTCAGCGCTGATATAAAGTGGCACTTCCGGTTAGCCGATTTTAAGGAAAAGGTTGCAGCAACATCTAAGGCATATACCTATCTTAAATACGTAATATCAGTTTCGTACAACTTTTCGTTTTTGAGCTAGACTGCTAACATACACACACACACAGACACACAGACCATTTTTCAGGACTTGGTTATTTGGACTCAGGGTACCCCAAAACGTGTATTTCTGTTAAAAACTAAGATTCAAAAATTTTCACGATCGCAATACTTACCTTAATATATGTTACATATATTCAGAACGAATATTACCTTAATAAATTTTACATATTATTACATATTATTACATATATAATACCTTAATATATGTTACATATATTCAGAAGTAAGTGAAAGTAAAAATTGCCATGGTGTTCTTTACCTCCAAGGTACAAATCTAGGTTTATATTATAGGTAATGTATTTACACCTATTTTATTAAAGATTTGAATTTGTATTGATTTAGCAATATTCAGTATTAGTTATTCTTATTATTTTAGTATTATTAGATGACTCAATATATTTATATTTGTTGTCTACATAAAAAGAATATGTATTTATAATCAATGTTTACTTTAAATAATTGTTAAATATCTTAATATTGCTATATTTTTTGAGAGTGTAAAAATAATAGTAATTTATGATCAATGTTTACTAAAATAATGATTGAATATTGTTTGGAATAATGGAATTGTATATTGTTTTGCTCTTGGACTTATCCTCTAATGGTCTTTGGCCAAGAGTATAATGAAAGGATTAATGTACGTATTTTTTTCTCCCAATATACACCTACATTATTATTATTATTCATATAAATTTATTTAAAAATATAAAATATCATATCTATTGTTATTTTTACTGTAATTAGGTTGATTTACCTATATAATATTAATTCCTGATACTTTTTTTCTGACGGATCCTCCACCAATAAAAATGAAAAGTCTACACCTATGCCTTAATTCACTCACTATAAGACAACAATTTTTCATCACTTGGCACCTTACTCATTTGTAATGTTGAATTTAGTTGAATGGAAGAAGGAAATATAAAGAATATGTCACTTTAAAACATTATTTTTAACAATAATAAATTTTTTCCAAAAATGTCTCCTTTATCCATTTTATGCTTTAATTATTAGATGAGTATTATTTACATTTTAAGTTATTATTAAAAAAGATTCTTTATTCCTTTTTTTTTTTTATTTTAGCAAATTTATGTAAAATCTAAAGAAACATCTGATTTCTCCTTGAGCGAGGGTTCTTCCGGCTATATTCCTCCCACATCACCTACCAAGTCCCCGAAAAAGAGGCCGGCTTCTACCACTCCTTCTTCATCACCAATTAAAATTCCTAAAATGATGAAAAATATATCACCTGGAACTGCCACTTCCAAAAAGGTTAGACCTATCATTTGGTTGAATTCAATTTTTAATATTAATTTTTCATCATTATTAATTTTGATTATGTTTTTAGAGACCTTTAGAAGGCACTGCAAGGACTACATCTAAAATTCTTAAAATAGACGATAAAATAAGTGAAGTAAGTATTTATATATACATATATAACCTATTATTGATGTTAATTATAACTATATTTGAGACATTTATTCATGGAACATGATATTTGAAATTTTTATTAATTGAAGAGTTTAGCAAAACCGATTAGTTGCCAGGTTTCATTGGTAATTAATAGAATCTGAAGGAAACTGTTTCTTTAAATATTAATGTTTATATTAAGATAAGTAAATGATTGTTTGTTGAAGGTAATGGATTATAGCTACCAAACAATTTAAAATTGTTAAATTTTCCATCTTATTAATTATCAGGTTTTAAGATCAAGTGTCTCATTTATGAAAATGTAGAAGCTTTTTCATTTTTAAATCTTTTTTACTTTTCTATTATCACTAGGTAAGAAAAGTATTGCGAGTGGGTCAAATTTGCGATGTGTAGTTTTCAACTGATCTTTATGTTTCTGAGCTTCCTGAGTCCGAAAAACACATTTAAGGCCATTGGTCTGTCTGTCTTATAGATTATCTCGGGAATGAAAGGATGGATTCCATTACTTCTTTTTTTAATGTTGTGGAGTTATGATTACTGATGATTGTGAAACAAACTGGGTGTTTCCTGCACAATAGCGGCTGCATAATAAGAGAAAAAATATTTTTCAATAGATTAGCGCAAAAATACTTCTAATGATTTTGATAAAAGTTTCCTGTAATCCTCTACTTAAAGTCCTTTCAATTTTTGTATATGTATTAAATTCCTGAGAAAAAAAAAAAAAAAATACAGAAAAGAAAAATGTTTAGAGGTCTAGTTCGCAAAGAATACATTCTATGGGAAAATTAATGTAAAATCTTTTGAAAGGTAATGAAATTCACTATAAAAAAAAAATCATTGGAATCTAACCAGTATTAGCAACGATACAGTGTATTCTATTTTATTTTATTATTTTCCTACTGATATTAGGTAAGGAAAGTATTGCGATCAGGTAAAATTTCAGATGTGCGGTTTTCAACAAATCTTTAAATTTCAGAGCCCCCTGAGTCTGAAAACAACATTTTCAGCCATTGGGTTGTCTCTCTGTCTGTGCTAAGTTTATCTCGGGAACATTTTGTTGCTTGTTTGTTCTGATTTTGTTGCTTCTTTTTTTTTATGTTGTAGTGTTTTGTCCTAACTCTAATCAAAATATAGATTATATAGAGCTCTGAAGCAGTTCTCGGAGTATATATCCTACTGGGGTCCACTTCCCACCATACCTTCCCAATACATTATTATTCAAGTTATTAGTTAAATATGAACATCTTCTTTTTTGTTAAAAAAAAAAATGAAGAGATCTTATATGCATTATTAATCTCATGAATTTTATTGGAGCTCAAATTCACATGATTTTTTTTTCTATGCAAGTACTCTACTGGACTAAACAATTGTTTTTCTGTGTGAGAACCCTATGGGGGTTGTTCAGAGTTTGAATAAGTAATAATGAGGTTATTTCTTGAATTTTTACTTATACTTGAATTTTGTTAAGTCGATCATTATTTAACTTTCGGTCTCTTACACCATTAGTGAAATTCAGTAACTCTAGATCGCGAATTTTTGTTTTTATTTACTATATGAATTTTTTGGTATCTGTCAAGTTAATTTATTTTCTCATCAGTTTTTTATTTAACTAGTTATGACTAGAGACCATAGATTTATCTTACTGAAAATTAAATTTATTTTTTATTACCAAGTTAAAGCACATGTGTTATAAAATAATAACATAAATTTGATTAGATTCTTCTGATGTATGGTTGAAAACACATTTATTGAATTATTCATCAATTTTATTATTTTTTCAGAGCAAGGAAATGAAGGAAAAAGTGTTAAAAACTTGGGCAGAGGATAAAGCTGCTGCTCAAAGTTACTCTTTGAAATGTGTAAGTTTTTTTATTAACTTTGTTATTTGTTACTAATAATAAAATTACTTTTTTATATACTGATTACTAGGGTACAAACAAAGTCTGTGTTTTTTAAATTTCCTACTGGTCCCCATTAGTTTCTACATGATCTTCATTATTCTAGTACAAGAATTATGGGAGTGGACTAGCTCTGTGGTAGGGTACCGAGTTTGCAATGCTAAAGGCCCACGATCGAATCCTGGCCATGGCAGAAAAATTATTTATTCTGTTTCATTGTTAAGCCTCTATAAAGTGGGTACCCTTTATTAAAATAATTAATTAAGGGGAAAAAACTAGCGGTTGAGCGTGATCTCGGTCAAACCACCTCCTTGCACAACCGTTGACCTAGAAACAGTGCTTTCCCTAAATTGTACTGAACCCATGACCATTCATGGGTTGTAGTGGTACAGGTTGTTTTTTAAGAATTAATTATACTTAATTATTTAGTTTAGGAAAATTTGAAAATCAAATTGAACATATAGTTAAATGCGTGTAATTTGTATGTGCTTATAAATACAAACATCAACAATAAGATATAAAAAATTACTGTGGCATTCTAATGAATTATCATCAATGTGTTAAATTACTGCGGTAAGGTTACATATTGATAATTCAGTGCATTGTGTAATAAATATTGTGTAAGGGCTGAAAAGCCCCCATTGTTAAAAATAAATAAATAAAATAATTAAAAAATTCTCCACCTATGGCCTAGACTATGAGAATTAATCTTAGTGTGAAAGTAAACTATTTTTTAAAACAAATAAAGACTTTGTTTATACCCTAATATTATAAGTATATATATTAAGGCTATCCATCAGATATTTTTTATTGTTTATATTTTTGAAAACCTGATCAACTACATTTGTGACTTGTTTTCAGCCTCTTCCAGATGTCTTCATTGGTGTTCGGCTTTTCTTTCCTGACACTATTCCCAGGGATCAAAAAGAATTTCTTGAAAGATATTTTGTTGCGTATCCTTTTTTTTTTTTATGTATTGGTTTATTATAACTAATTAATAATTGTCTGTTTAAATGTCGAGTAGATGAAAAAACAGTATAATTATAGTTTAGTCTATCATATACCATGAAATATGACTATTTACTCAACATTTCACAAGTACTTATAGGTATAAAAATCATTGTCAATATATATAAAAAAATGTATGTATATATAAAAACCCCATGTATTATTTGAACTGTTTTTAAGTGATATATTAACTCTATTTGATTTATCTTTTTAGGTTATTCATGGGAATGTCTTGTCTATATTCTGTATTTTCAGTACCGTTTGGCCTATATAATGTTATTTTGACATTTTGGGGGTGGAGGTCATGCCAAATGGCCCAATATTTTTATAGGCCACATTTTTTTTTTTTTTTTTTTTGATCAAATTATCTTACGATTCAAGTATCAAATGGGTATTCATGAGTTTTTAGTCACTAATTACATTAAAAAGTTTACTAAAGATTGAAATCGCTCAATTTTCCAGAATTTTCATAAGTAAAAATGGTATCGGTTATAAAATAATCAAGGCATTCACAAAGTTTTTTATGAATGTTAACAACTTGATAAAAAGAAATTTGTTCTGCAGACTATTATGTAAGCTTATTTGTTTTTTTCCTGATGATGCCTAAATTGGAGAAACATCGGCTTGTTCATAATTTATTGGTATTTGGGAGACTTAAATTAAAAGAGTAAATTTTATGAGAATAAACGGCAACGTTTTTATGATTATTCAAAGATTTCATAAAATAGACAAGAGATGTTTAGAAAATCAAGCACTCAAAGGATGTCAAGATTTGATTTATATTTTACTTAAACTTAAACATTTTAATAATGCTTACTGTAATTATTTTTTCTCAATCAATTCCCTAAAAAATAAGAATACATTTTTATTTATATTATCTTAATATGTTACCAATAGATTTCCTTCATTTTTTGGCTCTGAGATTAAGATAGCACACCTTGACCAAAGCAGTATCTGTATAAAAATGATACATTTTTATTCAGATTTAACTAAGAAAGTTAAATTTTTATAGAATTTGAATGAAATTGATAAACTCAATTTTTTAAATTTGATAAAATTTTGATCTATTATTGTTATATATGATTATTAATTCCATATATTATTTATGAAGTGACTTGAGAAAACTGTTCAGTAGTTATATAGAAGGCTGATGTAATGCTGAAACAGGTTCATAAACTCTAATTAGTTGTATTCTTGTCATGGAGTTAATAATTGTGTGGTTTTGTTTGCCTTTAGCATAATTTTGCTGACAATAACTAAGTTGAGATGAGATGTGTTATTAAACGTGAAGACAATTTGATCGGTTCTATATTGAAGGGTGCTAATTGTTTTTATTGATCTGAGTTCAGAAAGCCACATACGATAACTCCTCTGTCATGTGAAATGAAATTTAATCAAACATTATTTGAGGAAGTTCTGGGTTTAAAATGAAAGAATTAATATATTCCAAGTTTTTTTATTTATCCTTTTTTGAATTTTCCTTGACTTTAAATTGACTACGAATATATAGATTTGGAGGAGAACTGTTAAATGAAGAAGAAAAAGGAAATGCTACTCATGAAGTAGACGTAAGTTTTTTTTTTAATTATATCTTTTTAATAATTGGATGTTTATTGAAACTGTTTTAATTTTATTGTGTTACTGTTCTGAAAAATTCAGGGATTCTTATACTATCCTTCTTCACTGTTACTGACTTTTATTACTTGAATTAAATTTTAATTAATAAAACAGAAAGAGAGGTGGGAATTTAATTATATTCTGTTATTCTTAACTATTTTTATAAGTGTAATTATTTATTATATTCTTAAATATAATTTATTTAAATTTGTGTTAGTATATATTGCAATCAGCTTATTTTTTTGTTGCCTACGATTTAAAATTTCTGAAGTATAATATATTAAAAAAAAATTTCTATTTTTTTTTAATAGAACAATTTATTTTAAGTATTTAAAGATTGGACATTTCATTTATGTTTTTTATAATGGGTTAATGACTACAATATTTATTTTGCATAAGTTCTTTATTCACTTAGCTTGTTTTTAGGATAAGTTTTTTTAATTAAGTTTTTTAATTAGCAAATAGTTAGCAAATATGTCACAACCCTTTCACTATTTAAATGTTTACTTTATTCTTTTACGACTGATTCTTTCTCTATCCTTGATAAGTGGAAAACAAAACCATCAACAAAAGACAAATTTTTTTTAAGTTAGCTGTTCTGCATTTTATTTAAACTCTATTTTTTCAGTAAAATCCACTGCAATTTCCATAATTCTCCTTTTATAGATTTGTTAATTAACATAGTTTCTTAATTTTATTTTGCATTCCTACTTGACAGACAGCATGTGACAATATGGGAATGTTCTAGCCAAGTCTAAATTGCTCTTTTATCATAGAGTACTTGATTTTTTTTTATTATAGCTTAATTTATTTTTTTAAATAACAATATTTAAATTAAACAATTAAAAACGTACAGGCAGTGCCTACAAATTTCGAACTTCCAGTATTTCTGTTAGAAATTGTATTGATAAGAGTTTTGATTTATTGAAATATAGATATTATTATTTAAGAAAAAATGTTTATATATATTGCTATTTTTACTTTCACTTACTTGTATATATGAAATATATAGTAAAGAAAAGTATTGCGATCCTGCAAATTTTCAAATCTCAATTTTCAATGGAATTACACGTTTTGAGGTCCCCTGAGTCCAAATAACCAAGTCCCGCTAAATGGTCTGTGTGTGAGTATGTCTGTGTGCATGTGTGTTAACAGTCTAGCTCAAAAACAAAAAGGCGAACGAAAGTGAACTTGTATATTTATATGCTAGGGATCTCACACCAACCTTTTCTTCAAAATCGGCAAACCGAAAGTGGCACTTCATATGTTGGACTAAACACATTTTTACGATTTCCTCAAAAACCGCTCTAACGATTATGATCAAATTCACCATATCAGTGTAAAATTAAATATTGTAAAATAAAATATAGTTTTTATTCTGATTGATGTTCTTAAACAGTATTTAAGTGGCTAATTTTCAATCTTAGCTTCCCCTAAAGTAGCTTTAATTTTTTTTTATTTGAAAAAATTGACCATTTCACATTAATTTCTAATATAAAAGATAGTTAAATATAAAATATGGAAGAATTGGATAATTAACTGGAAGAGAAATAAGAGATCGTACGGAGAAGATTTGTAATAGATGAACCAAAAAAATAAAAGCACACCCGAGCTCATCTGAAAGATTAGAATACGCTTTCATAAGTAACATGAGCTTAATATAATATGGCCGCCGACAATATTATATAAATATACATATGTGGTTTGCATATATGCTATTGTATTATTTTAATATTTAATTGTATAGATTACAGTGAAATAAATATTAAAATTTGGATATATAAGTGTACTTATAAAAAATAAAAATACACACAATGAAATATAAATAAATATTTCTCTATTATGTTAACAATTTTTTAATGACTTTCATATTTTATTTCAGAGTAGGAGATAACAGCAATTCAACTTTTAACGATTGTTTTACAAATTATACAGCTTTTCATTTAATTACATATTTTTGAACTCCTATCACCTCCTACTCTCCTAATACAAAATAAACATTTTAAACTAAAAATTGTACAGGAAATGGTATTCTTCTGGAAGTGGTAGTTTGAGTTTACCTAGGTGACAGCAGTTATTTTTTAATCTAGACATTTACCAGAAATAGAAAAGAAAGTATAAAATAACGTACAATGAAAATATAAATAAAAGGCTCAAATTATTGTTGGACTTATGTGAAGCTGGTCAAGTTCAGTATGTATTATGGTTATAAATTGACAATAAGAATAATTATAGATATATAATAATATAAATTGGCAATATGGTGTGATACATAATATAGATTTTTAAAGAAGTTGATAAATAATAATACAATCTCAACTACAGAATACATGTAAACTACAGTTATACAATTTGAGCAACGAGTAGTACAGTTAAATGAACAGTTGTATAATTTATAAAATACTGGTTGGTCCACGATTAGGTGGAGAGGGGGTACCCCTTAGTTATTCTAATAAGTCTTTTTCGATTCGTTTCCAATGTTGGATTGGTACTCCATATATTAATATTTGACATATGTATATATTTTTAAATACCCACGTATCCGAAATGGCTTTAGAATCATTAATCCATGTTAAGGAGATTGTACTTACTATATTTAATTGCATAAAATACTAACTGCTGATTATGTATGATGTATAATTACAATTTGTATTTTTGACTTTATGCGTTAATTTAATTGTTATGACTTAGTTTCAAAATTACCTGAGTGACTCAAAATGTTAACTTAAAGGCCGGTTATTTAATGCCCTCATAGAAAGGTTTTCTTTTTAATTAAGTCCACTTTAATTTCCGGGTGTTAGAGAGCTGAAGTGTGTAAAAGGAACTTTCTGCTTTATGCCACTTTTAATTTCTTCTCTTATTGTGCGTTATGCTTTATTGCTCCTAAAGAACTTTGAAAAGTTCGTATTTTCGTTTCGCTATTTTTAATGAACCTTTCGTCGTAGTAGCTCGATTTATTAGTTAGAACATTTTTCTTTTCCTTTTTCATTTTTGGCTCTAAATCTTATAAAATTAAATACTTTTTCTTCTGGATATATTTAAGATTAAAAAAAAGTCTTGTATCTTTTTACTATGTGCAATATATCGTAAGAGAATTATTAATATCGCGAAAAAAATATAATCCAGAGAAAACGAAAATACACGTTTTATGGTCTCATGAGTCCAAATAACGAAATCTTGCAAAATGGTCTATATATGTGTGATTTGCCTTGCTCACAAATGAAAAATATTGCGGATATGAAATATATATTTAAGATATTTGTGGACCTGGATTGTTATAACAACTTTTTCTTCAAAATTGGCTAGTCTCGAATACAACTTTACATAATCGATTTTATACTCTTTCACGATTTTCTCAAAAAACGGCTCTATTAATTTTGATTAAACTCGTGCCAATGTATAATTAAGTGGATTTTAATATCAAGTAAGTCTAATTGAAATAGTTCGACAGTGCTTTAATGTCAAATTTTCCAAATGGCTAATATATTTTAATATTGTTGAATTAAAATAATTCACCGCTTCTATTTGATAATATTAAGAAAAATGGCTAAATATGAAGTATGAAGTAATTTTTTAATTAACTTCTCAGGAAATTAGAATAGCAATATGTATGTAAATAATATATCGTTGGAACTATTTTCTGTTGGCATTACAGACCATGTAGATCTTTTGCCGCCTTAACAAGCCTGCTCCATCTCTGGCTATCTTGGGCTATTTCTTTCCAGTTATCTGCATGCAGCTCTATCTCTATATCTTTGTTGATTCGATCTATAAATCTACTTTTTGGCCTTCCACGTGGTGTTTTCCTATTACTAGGCATTCATTGTCGTGTAGGGGCTTCCAGATGGTTTGCTATATGCCCCGCCCATCTTAATCTCCGTTCCTTCATACCATGAGGTATTGGTCAGAATACCGATTTCTAATTAAATAATTGACACGAGGTTGGCATCATTTTGTTATGAAATAACATAAAGTTTTGGTTTACTCGGCGTACTATCTCGAAAATATTGTTAGTCATCTTGGATATTAGCTGGCAGTGAGATGGTCTTCAATTCAGTCAGGTAAAATGTACTTGTGATAAAAAATTTTTTTTGTAATCCGAAAATGATACCAGACACTTTTGCAATTAATTACATAAACCTTCTTGTGAATTGGGCAGAATACCAATTTCTAATTAAATAATAGCCATGAGGTTGGTATCATTATTATGTTATGAAATAACATACAATTTTGGTTTAGTTTGAGTACTATTTCTATAATATTATTAGTCATCTTCGATATTAGCTGGCAGCGGGATGGTCATAAATTCAGTCAGGTAAAATGTACTTGCAATAAAAGATCTTTCTTTGTAATCCAAAAATGATTTTTGACTAGATACTTTATATATATATAGGCGCATCGTGTTAAACACTTCTGCGCATATGGAAGATGTAGTGATAGTTCGGGACACAGACCACTTTTTATAAAATTATTAACATCATCTAAAACTTCGTCAGTGGCTTCATATTTTCGTAATCTACAAATTTATTTCATACAAAACATTTTCAGAAACGGGCCTTTATATATATATTTTTTTAGGGTTTTTCCGCTGCTTAAGGAGTCATATCCCCGATACCCAAAAGCCACTGCTCCCTGTCCATCCAATCTCCTTCACGAAGCCCTCTGGCTGCCACGCTTTCCTCCATGTCCTCTGTCCATTTCTTCTTTGGCCTTCCACGCTTCCTTCTTTCAGGTGGCATATAGTTATAAATTTTCTTTGGCCAGCGGTTCTCATCCATCCGCATTAAGTGGCCATACCACTTTAACCTTTTAGTCCCGATCAGGTGAAGAATGTTCTTTTGACATCCGAACTTGTCTCTAATTGCTACGTTTGGGATCCGCTCGATTCTAGATATGCAACAGCTTCTTCTTCGAAAGCTGCATTTCCATGGAATGCAACCTATTTTCCGCC